CACTTATCAGTCTTTTTCACATATCAGCTGGTTTAATAATCAACCTTCCACCCTCAGAAGACCCAGGGGTATAAAACTTGGCTGTATTTAATGAGGCGCTGGGCTGGAAAACAACCAGCTTTGCTCTGGGAGGGGGCCCTCCCTCAACCCCATGTGGGAGGCAGTTGTGCTGTAGTGGCAAGAGAAGATAGCTTTGAGGTCAGAAAGACCCAAGTTCAAATCCTGTGTCTTCCACTCATTTGCCAATTGACTTTGGGAAAATGGCTGATTCTCTGAGGCGGTTTCCTCCACTAAATAAAGAAGATAATCACATCTTCCAAATAATTGTGAGCACTAGATGAAATAATAAAATTATGTGTCTGAAGTGCCTGACACATCGTGGGTGATTAGTAAGCAGTGTTTATTTTGTGGAAGCTTACAACACGTGAATACAGACTCCAACTAGCCCTATAGAAACCCTGTAGGTGAATGCAACTCATGTTCCCTAAAGCCAAAAACAAAAGCTGACAGGATTTGACCTCTGTTCTCCAAATTACCAAATTTTCAGTTTCATCTCAGGGGAGAGCCTGCCCTTCTGGATTCTCCCCTGAAAACAGCCTTGCCCAAATCTAGTCAAGTCCAAAATAACTAGACAGGACCTTCTTCCTGTTTCCCGAGGTGGTATTGTGTAAATCAGGACCCGAATTTTATATGAATATGTGCAAGGGACTTCAGGCAGTTCGATAGTATTCGTGAAACCTATTATGTACAGGGGGAAAATAAATGTTTTACCATCACTAAGAGGTTACAGATTAAAACCAGATGGCCTCATCAAGGGAAAAACTGCCACTTCCTCTCCAACACCACCACTACCCTACTGCCTTCCTTCAACAGGTTTCATTTTAGTCTAATAATCTTAATTGGGCAAGATCTTCCACAGCTTTGTAAAGAAGCTAATATCTAACCCCCTATTTTGAAGGGAAAGTTAACTGACATTTTCCAAGCATGGCCATGCGCCAGACACCGTGAACATTCTCACTTCATTTGAGTCTCAAGATGGTTTGAAATAGGTGTATTTTACACCATTTTATAGGAAAATAGACATCAAGCAATTTACCCAGAGTTCTGCAAAGAGTAAGTGGCAAAATAACTGGTTGATTCCAAAGTCAGAAGTCAATGACAACTGCGATGAGAGGAACTTTGTGGTTTTGAAAACAACTGAGTAAAGATGTGGAAATGGAAATGAGCAAATCTCATAAGTTCCATTAGAGATCATTAGTGTGAGAGCATGACAAAAAGAAGAGAAGGCTTTTCTAAAATACAAGAAACATCAAGGGGTTATTTGCACATTCTATTTGCAATCTAAACTCAAGCCCAGGCTCCATGCACTGTGCAGTTTCTAACCACAGAGAGTAGAGAGTTGACTTGGGGGTCAGCCTGAGACCCACACTTACCAAGTAAAGAAATTCTAAATCCTCATCTATAACTCTTATCAATTGTCTCATTTCTCTGGTGTTTTAAAAAAGTAGCCAATCTGGAAGAAGACAGTTAGTGGGTGTGACCGTTTCACTTTGAATTTGTTAAACTGACTTCTGAAAGTCCATAAAAGAGAAGCTAAGATTAGTGCCTGGATTGTATTGACAAAGTTTTTGCTCTTGAACCATGACCTATTACATGAGGATATTCAAGTGATTACACGGTAGGGTGTGTTCTGTCAGGTGACCCCATCTATTTTCAGCTGCAAGTAAGCAGCCCTGACGGTGACAGCACCTTCAAGGAAGCCAGAATGCATGGGGAATTCTCATTTCCAAGAAAATGCTTACAACACCCAGAAGTTCTGCCCAACCTCCTCCAGGACTGAGAATCAATGTTTGGGAGAAGAACCCCGAAAACAGATTTTTTTTTTTTTTTTTTTTTTTTTGGCTTTTCACATCCACTGCCCTACTTCTTTTTGCAAACTCTTCACTTCTCTCTTAGACTGTCTGAAATGAGGTTGGGAATAGGGCTATAGGACAGGGAGTACAGTGGGAGACCTTCTGCGGACCCTTTTGTCATCCCATTTTTTGTTTCAAACTATAAGTGACCTTAAAGATGATCTGAGTCTCTTGATTTCAGAGGAATCCCTGGCTCACACAGCTCATTAATGGTTTTAGCTCGAAAGACCAGCTGTAGGATTCCAAGGTGGGGTGCTTTTTGCATGTGATCACTCCCAGTTACCAATCTATTTTCAAGATGTCGGTTATCTTCCTGGTGGATCATTCCCTCTGACAAAGGTTTGAGTTTGACACGATTTTAACCATTTTTGCTGTTCCTGCCTAGTGGGATGTGCATATGGGCAGTTACACAAGGGATTAACAAACTCAAAACACAGCGCACAAGGCCTTTAGACTGAAGAACAACTTATCTCATTCATAGATAGATAGATAGATAGATAGATAGATAGATGCTTTGCAAATATACAGACTATTGACGATTTATTTTATTTTATTTTATTTTTTTTAAAGATTTATTTATTAATTTTTTCTTCCCCCCAAAGCCCCAGTAGATAGTTGTATGTCATAGCTGCACATCCTTCTAGTTGCTGTATGTGGGACACGGCCTCAGCATGGCCGGAGAAGCGGTGCGTCGGTGCACGCCCGGGATCCGAACCCGGGCCACCAGCAGCAGAGCGCGCGCACTTAACCGCTAAGCCACGGGGCCGGCCCTAGGATTTCTTTTAAATATAAATGCAAGTCAAAGTATTTTTTAATTTCTAGAAGCTTTTTGTCCGTCATCAGATACAATTACAATTATGTAGACATCTTGGGAATTCTTTGACATTAAAATACAGCTCTCAGAAAATACATAGTTCTCATACCAGAAGATTGTGATTCGTGCCCAAGCCTTCTTGTGTTACTCCTTATATAAAAGAGCACCAAGGGTACTTTTAGCAAAACTAATTAACACCAAAGGTTCAATTCTGGCTATGCAGAGGCTTAGGGACAGAGTTACTCCTCCAGTGACCTTCAAATCAAATCACACAGATGAACCCCCCCACTCTTTATGAAGCCAGTCTCGCCCTCCGACTCCTGCAATACGAAGTTCTTCCCCTGGAGGAGCTGTGGTATTGGTACACACCACTTTCTCCACAGCACCTTCATCCCCCAGCTTTCTAGCTGCCTCTCTCTAGTCACCTGCCTACTGCAGCTCTTCCTCTCTCCCTCCCCTTCTAAGAGAAGCAATTTACACTCAGGATTTGAGCTGACTCTTTTTGAGGGCAGGAGTGGGTTGAAGGTGTGGCTTCTAGATTGAAGCTACAAACCAGGGTTATCTTTTTAGCTCTCACACTCAACAGGAAGGCCACTTGAGTTACACCTACTTCTGCACATGACTAGCTTCAGATGAAGCAATATTTGCTGCTGGGGCAGAGGGAGAAGCATGAGGTCACCTAAAAGGAAACTGCACAGAAGCTCCTCTTGCCTGGCAGACAGACTGAGGAGCACCCAAGGACTCGGGCTGACCACACCTCTAATTAGATCATGAATCTCTGTAGGCTACTTTAAATAAATCCCTCTCCACGCATTAACGTAAGGCACTCAGCAGCTCTCAAGACCTTGCCTGGCATTGACTTCCTCTCCCAACTAAAGTGTAAGTCACTTGACAGCAGAAAGCTTGCCAAATGCTCCTGTATTCTCTATTCCTACCATGGAACTGGGACAGAAATGGTGCTGATGGAAATCAATTAAAATATTCTGGTTTGGTAATGAACATTCAGTAGCCTACATGATGAGAAAATAACCACACAGCAAAGCTTCTTGGTAATTTTTAATAGTTTACAGCTACAGTATCAAATTTTATGCATATATATGTATAAATACAGTTATAGACTATAAATATCCATATGGCAAAATATCTGCCTCTAGGCAGAAGCCCCCCCCCCCCGCAAAAAATCTTTGCAACTAAATAAACAGCTTTAAGGAATACTGAAGGAAAAATAGATGCTGAGGTAATTTTTCATCTAAAGTGGCTACAGTCTATATTAAAATATCATTAAAATATTCTTACTATAAGAGTTCAGGTAGTTATGAAACCCTTGTCTCATAACCCCAAACTACAACTTTCCCTAATAGACATTTTAAGCTAATAAAAAATATTTTAATTATAAATAGGTAAAATAAATAAAATTATTCTTGCTTAAGTTCAATCATGACATTATTATTCCTTTTTTATATATTTGCGGACTTTTTTGATAACCTGGCCTTTTAATAATTAAAAAAATGAAATACATGAAACCCCCTTCTTAGAATCTACATATTAACATTACTCTAATGCAAATTATATATATGTGTGTATATATATATATTCATGTATGTAAATGGATTTTCTGGATGAGCAACCTGTTCCTGTTTTTTTTTAAAAAGTATATCCCAATGATAAAAACATGCTTAATTTCTCCTAAAAGATCACTTTTTATAGGATGCACACTGACTAGCATGAGAAAGAGCATTTTACAGATTTTAGAAACTTCTTTCGAAACACATTCATTTTCTTACCAACAGTTACTTGACAATACTTGTTTTACTAAGTTTTAATTACAGCAATAAAAAGTCAAATTCACTTTTTTTCCATTGTCGTTGGTTATACAAAATCCCCATGCTCTTTATCTTTCAATATTCAACCTCTAAGAATTTTACTGGCACCAAGTAACATTCCTATACTTCTATCAAATTTTTTAAAAGTACATATTTTCTAGTTAAGGCCCACAGGAACACATTGAATGAAAGGTCATCTGAACAGAAGCAATACATTTTGAGTCAAAAGAAACAAACTACCGTATTATTTTTTATCTTGTAGTGACCTATAAAATCAACATTCACTATGACATTCAGTGTTCTCAGAAGGAAATTTTTACTTTTAACAAGATAATACATAAACCAAATATTATACATTGTTCTGGAGTTGTCATCCAAAAGTAGAAACAAACACTGAACATCTTCTGTTTCTTGAACCCTGCCAAGCCTGATCATTTGTCAACTTCTCTGATACCAGGCTGGGCAGCAACCTTTAGTAAAAATACTAGAACAATTATCTAAGCAAAAACAAAACGTATAAATAATTAATGTCCTATTTTCAAAGTTCTTCCATCCTTGCTTTAAAATGAACAAGGTGGCTTCATAATGTTCTCACATCCCAAAGAATGACTTCAGGGAAACCTCCAACACAAATTCATTTTTGATGTATTCCATCTTTGTTCCCAAGGGCAGCCAGAAGCAAGTGAGAGCTCCTTCACATTCCTCTCCATTACAAGGCAGTCTCTCCTCTAATTGATGCAATTTGCACCTACTGGGGAATCTTCCATTTTAAAGGAGTCTCCTCATTCAGAGGCTTCTGAAGCAGTCAGGTTCCTGAGCGGAAGAGTTTGGTTATGAGATTCAGAAGTTTCTGCCGGAAATTCAGTTTGTCTCCAATTCTCCTGATTTGAATGGCACACTCAACTTCAAGCTCTGAAAAGGAAAGCAAAACATCAAAATTACATTGACAATACTGCAAACTGCAACCAGCAAGTTTATGCCCATCCAAGGGATTAACTTTAGCTCTATGTACACCTGTTTTCTGAATGTGAGAAAGGCTACTTAGAAAACACACACACACACACACACACACACACACACGCACACGATATATACTAACACATTGTGACTTATAAACAAACAAAAAACTAGTTAAGGTAAGAAACAAGACATTTACTTTGAAATATTTTTTTTTAAAACCAACCTAGATGAGGCAAATATTATCTCACTTTCAAATACGGACATTTAATATGTCAAATACCACAAAGAGTGAGTAAGCCTTTGCCAGCCTGAGGTGATGTCATCCTTTTCTCTCTCATTTAAGGTTGGTTGGGGGAACAGAACTCAAATTCTAAACTCTTTTGTGTTGTTTTCAAGTAGGATTTATTTTTTTAAATGGCAATAATTCATAGCTCAGATTATGCCCTCATTAACAGGCAAATCTAAATGTCTTCTTTTCCTCATTGAAAAAACTCTTTGAAATTTCCTCATAAAAGACTCATAAAACCTTATTCCAAAATTAAGACCACATTCTCTAAAATAATTTAGAAGTTTACATTTTACTCGGAGCCAAACTCTTCCTACGAGCCCAATCTGCACCAATCCATTGCTTTTATGGAGATGAGTGAAGCAGAAAATAAGTGATGTTTAATTCACGTTTACTACTTTTTAGTATAGAGATATTGTAATTAACTGAATATTAACTTAAGAAAAATAATGCTTATAATCTAATTTCCAAGTAAATTTTTAAGTAAATGAAATTAACACCAAACCTATACTGACCAAAATTTCAATATTCTTGGATATTTCAAAGAGCAAATCAGACTCTTCTCCATCCACTTTAAGATCATGATCATGAACATTAAAAATCATTATGACTACAAATTAAAATCCAGTTTATTTTGTAAATAGACTCTGCAAAGACCCTATTTAGGCTCAAAATAAATGAAAACTGTAATGTATAGCAAAGCGGATTTTTAAACCTACATTTCAACCAATTTCTCTTTGTACAAGAGCTGGGTGAAATTTTCATAATCCTTAACAAGAGATCTAATAAATCTCATAAGACGCCATTCTTTATAGGCTACAGAGTCAAACATTTTGATAAGTATTTACAAAGACACGTTCTTTTCAGTCAGTGGGATATATTAACACATCCCCCAAAATTAATTATCCTAAAAAAAAATTGTTCTAAAAAAACAATTATCATTCAGCATATAATTTTGGAAGCCCTGAATTATAAGAGGAAAAATTATCCCTTTCACCAAAAAAAAGGGCAAAAAATAGCTCCTAGTTGTTTCCTTAATCTTTTTGTTACAGTTATACATCTATAAATGTACTAATTTTTTTTTTTTAATTTGTAACTATGTGTGGTGAAGGATGTTAACTAAACTTGTGGTAATGATGTCACAATATATACATATATCAAATCGTTATGTTGTGGGGGGGGACTAATACAATGTTCTATGTCACTTATATCGCATTACAATAAATATTACTATCTAACAAGTTTAAGAGGGACCTTTCCAACTAAGTTAGATCAGTGAGGGTTATGCACAGGTTAGACCTTTTGAAAACATGGTCAGAACTCTTGGGACACCACAAAAGGTGGACAAAGCTTTTTCTCTCCCAAGCGAGAGCCAGAGAGGAGTCTGGTGCCCACTTAGCCAGTCACACTGGCAATGTACCACTTGGCACGCCCCACGGGCTCTATAAAATGAAACTAAGTTAAAAGGCAGCCTACTAGAGCCTGATGTGATCGCAGTATGTATGAGGTATAGGGATTTCGAGCCAAGCCCTACTGCCTTCTTTGCTGCTGCCCCTTAGCAGACAGTTGCCTTGTTTGACAAGATTTATAAAGGAGAGGGCTGACCTGAAAAGTTATTTGATGGGACTACATGGGGGGGCAGGGAGTGAAGGGAAGATGGATGGATTAAAAAAATTGGGGACCAACTGTTCTCCTCCTATCCCCTCTCTACAACTAATACCTATGGTTACAATGTTACACTCTTAACAAGGAAGCACGACTTGCTGGGATCCTGAATGCAGTGGTCCCTGTGGGGCCTCCACACTCCTCCATCAGTCCTTTGTGGACAAGTTGTGCAAGTGTCAAGCGTTATTACTGCTTTTGTTCGCGCTGGGGGTGGAGAGAGTGGTAGCGAACAGAGCAGGGCCTTCCAAGGGCCACGACTCCGAGGAAGAGGGCCTGTCTCAACAAGCGCTGGGAGGCCAGGCCGCTCCTGGAGCTTCTCCCGCCTTCACCTGCCCTGACAACGACTTTCTCCTCGTGGCTGTCGCCCGCACTCGCGCTTTTTTTCAACTCATGGCCCCGGGGCAGGGCGAGGAGGGATGGAGGCCGAGCGATGGAGAAGCTTTCTGCATCCGCTAAAATGCAGCTGCATCCCAACCGCACACCGGGCTCCCTCTCCCGCCGTCTCCACGGTCCTGGGTAAAACCCCAGAAGAACTTCCGGAGGCGCCCCGAAAGCACGTGCAAAGGCGCAGACCTGCCCCGACCTTGAGACCCCGTGCAGACGGGCTGACCTCGCCCCTCCTGAGACCTGGACCCCGGCCTGGATCTCCGCGGACCCCAGGGGCCCCTACCTGCCGGGACCCGCGTGGGGCTCGGCTGCCCAAACTTACGCGTCTTCCTCGCAGGCATCTCCGCAAGCGGGCGGCGGGAACTCAGTCCCCCAACCTTGGATAACAACCTTGCGTCTGCAGGACGAGAGCTGCGCGCGGAGCGGACGGTCGGACCAGGCGGGCGGGCTGGACCGAACTGGACACCGACTGCGTGCGCACCCGAGAAGCTTTGGGCCCCGGGGGCCGGCTCGAGCCCGCGCTCTGATCTTACGGGGACTTCCCAGTGACGTAGCGAAACTGGACGCCGGGGCCCGCCCCTGTCCCCGCCCCGCCGGCGCTGCGCTGGGGGCGCGCGAGCCCAGCCACCCGGCGCGGTCTGCCGGGACCCGCTCCCGACTCGCGGCGGCGCCGACCCGCGGCGGGGGGCGCAGGGCTCTCGGCGGCCGAGACCCGGGCCAGCCCCGAAATTACTTCTTTAACAGACGAGGGTGGGGATAAGGAGGTGGAGACTGAGAATCTGCAAGCCCCCGACTTCGAGTCGGCTGCAGTTGTGGCGGGCTCTAGGAGTCGGAGAGGAGAAAGGTTCTCCTAGCGGGAGAGTTGGGGGTGGGGAGGCCAGGAGCCTCGTCCTTATCATAAATGGGCTATTAGAGACTTCTGTAAACAACCCTCGGAAAGAATTCGGAAAAGAAAAGTTGTCAGTCTCGGAGAGTGTGGGTACTAGTTCCGGGGAAGTGAAATAAAGAGAACAATAACAGTAGAGATGAGGCCAGAGGCCATGTGAGAAAAGTACCAGATTGAAACTGCTGGGAAGTTACTGCAAATTTGCAACCCCGAGCAAGCAAGCAAACACTGTTTTGATTTGCAAGGTGGTGTGTGTGGGGAGGGGGTGTGGATGGGGGAGAGAGGGGGCTTGTTCTCTGCCGGAGTCAGGACTGTGATTTAACAAGTAGAGTATGTTCCCTCTGGATAGGTCGCTATTGTTCGTTCTAAATGCTTAGTAACAGAAAAAAGAGTAGTCATTGTATAGAAAACTTTCAAATGCTTTTGTGGAGAGAGGAATGAGGGATCTGGGAATACGCAGTTATTGCTGGATGCTTGGCTGGCCCTTGCATAACTCCATTATTATGAAGAGAAGGACTAATTCGTATGAGTTAACAGGTATTGAGGGTGCTTCGTGCTAAGGGCTTCAGCAGGCATTGTGTCATTCTGTCCTCGGGACAACACTATGAAGCTGGTATTCTTATCTCATGGCCACTTTACAGGTGTGAAAACTGAGGTTTATAGAGATTAAGTGAGTTGCCCAAACTCCCATAGGTAGAGAGCAGTACCAGGATCCGAACCCAGGCAGGCCCACGAGGAGCAGGAGCTCTTACCCACTGCAGTCTTCCCAGTAATCACAGTTTCTTAGAAAAGGAGTGTTCTTATATTATCTGCACTATTTAATGCAGAGGCTGCGAATTGGTTGTTAGAGCTGCGTGGCTTCCTAGAAGTGTTGGGTTTGGTTCTCAGTATTGGTCTGCAAAATGTCTTATGAAAATTTGAATTGGTTACCAACAGTTAAAAATAGAAAGATTGCATTAAAAGCTGGGATTTCTGTCATCTTTTGGAAAATCAGAAGCTCTGACAACCTGGGATCCGTTTTCCAACCGTGCAGAGCAAGCTGGAAGTGTGGTTGCAGCCGCTCCCCTTAGAGAGGCCTTGGGCGGGTTGGCCACACTCCCTGCTGTTTGCTTTCTCATTTACATTATCTGGCCCCAGTAGGCATTTGAGCTTGTTTATTTACCTTAAATCATTCAGTCAACACAAACCTGCATGTATTTGTTTATGATGTGGGCCTGCTGAAGTATAGTCAACGCTGTAAGCATGAAACGAAACTACCCGAGTTGAAACAACTTAGTTTTCAGTGTGGTAAATACAGGGGGATAAGAGTGGACAGAATTCAGGAGTTAGCACCACATGACACAGGAAGCACCGCGGAGATGCTGACTTGAAATCTGTTATCTTGACCCTGGTTATCCCCAAACCACTAGAGCCCTCTCCAGGCTCAATTGACTGACTTAATACTTAGAGAACACCATTAACTTCCTGACTGGATAAATGAGTAAACTTCTGATCAAATCACGCGCCCTGAAATGCGGTGAATACATTCAACAAAAGAAAAGCAAATTACGCTGTTGTTTACGTACAAAAGGTGTATCAATCCTGTCCTCTAACATTATCATTATAAAAGGTTGTTGGCCACCTGACCCACACTAGATACAAACCTTAGGCAAGTTGTATCTTTTAGGGAATTGCAAATTCAACTTGCTGGAAGGAAAAGGGAGGAGAGAAGTGGAAGCAGCGGGCTTCAGAGGTGGGTCAAAATCAGCCATTTATGGAGGACTTTTTAAGATTATGCGTTTGAGATAGTCCATAAACTTTTTTTCAGATCTAACACGCTATTAAGAGAATTAGAAGCTGAGTGTGAAAGGCTCTCTTAACTGTATACGTCTCTGGAAAAGGGATGTATCAATTAATGAGAGCCTGCAAGAAATATAAATATAAATATGGAGATATTTTGAGTACTGGGACTGACAAAATAGAGATTTATCATGAAGCACTAGAATCCCCTATTATCTGTTTAAAAAAAAAAACGGGGGGACTGCTGAGGACAGTTTTAAAACTATTACCAGGTATCAGTTTTCACAGACCAAGTTCAAAAATGACAGTGCAAATCTGGCCATGACTGTGTTGTCACTTAAGAGTGCTTAAAAAAATTACTAAAAAAACAAAACAGAACAGAAAACATGATTAGTAATGGAATAGTCATTCATGTATTTCATGTGGAAAATAGGGTTTGACAGGAAAACAAGAGGATATGAGAGATGAGTGAGAGGGAGTTTAAAGAAGCCTGTGACAAAATGTATAGGCTGTAGACTTGAGTGTGTCTATTCTGATAAAAGAGGACTTGTTTTTTCCTGTATAGCATGTTTGTTAACACAAAATCAGCCTGATACATTGATCAGTTAAATCTCTCTTTATTTTAAGACATACTCTGTGCTAGGTTCCAGGGAGACAATGCTGCCTACCCCCATCGAACCTACGTTGGAGAGACTGGTACCTCTCAAATTCAAAGTGCATAAGCATCACTTGAGTGTCTTGTTAAAATGCACATCTGATTGTGGAGATCTGGTTGGGCTTGAGATTCTGCATCTTAAGCAAACTCTAGTGACGCTGATGCTTCTGGTCTACAGACGTCACTTTGAGTAGCAAGGCTAGAGGATGATACTGATAAGGACATAGGCAGGTGCAACAAGATGTGCATCAGGGCTATGCTAGGAAGTTATGATGGACTGCCTGGGAGGGCAATTAAGCAGGAAAGGACACCTACATAGAGACCTGAGGCATACATAGGAGTTGGCCAAGCAATGAGGCCAAAGGGAAGAAGTATGTTCCATGCAGAGACTGAAGGGCAGTGTGAGGTGGGGAGTGGTGTGAGGTGAATGGAAAGAGAAGCCACCTGAGGAGTTTGCGTATTATTGCAAATAGGGGAAATGGAGGCACTGAAGGTTTTAAGCATGTGGGTGGTATGATCAGATTCTAGAAAGCTCACTCTGCCTGCAGTGTGACAAGATTAGTTGAGCTAAGACCAGAGACAGTGTGACTCATGAAGATATATATTACGGTAATTCTCATACAAGATGGTAGTGTCAACAAAGAGAATCACTGTTTCAAACTTTTTTTTTTTTTGAGGTCACATTGGTTTAGAACTGTGTAAATTTCAGGTGTATGTTATTATGTATCAGTTTCTGTATAGACTGCTTCGTGTTCACCGCCAATAGTCTAGTTTCCATCCATCACCATATACATGTTCCCCTTTACCATTTTTGCCCTCTCCCTGCCCCTTTCCCCTCTGGTAACCACTAGACTGTTCTTATTTGTGTGTTTGTTTGTTTATCTTCCACATATGAGTGCAATCGTATGGTATTTGTCTTTCTCTGTCTGACTTATTTCACTTAGCATAACACCCTCAAGGTCCATCCATGTTGTTGCAAATGGCACGATTTTGTCTTTTTTATGGCTGAGTACTATTCCAGTGTGTGTGTGCACACGCACGCATGTGTGGGTATATATATATATATACACACACACACACATAACACATCTTCTTTATCCATTCATCCATTGATGGGTACTTGGGTTGCTTCCAAGTCTTGGCTATTGTGAATAATGCTGCAATGAACATAGGGGTGCATATAATTTTGGAATTAGTTCAACCTCTGTCTTATTGAAATTCTCATATTTCCTAGCTAGGATAGGACCACATTCTATGAGACCAAGACATGATATTTTTCAGCACAAATATAACTAACATTTTCTCCCATATTAGTTTCTTAGGGCTGCCATAACAAAGTACCACAAACTGAGTAGTTTAAAACAATAGAAATGTAATTCTGCACAGTTCCGGAGGCTAGAAGTCTGAAATCAAGGTTTGGTGTCGGCAGGGTCATGTTCTCTCTGAAGCCTCCAGGGGAGGAATCCTTCCTGGCCTCCTCTAACTTCTGGTGGTGGCCTGCAGTCTTTAGCATTCCTTGATTTATAGATGTATCACTCCAGTCTCTGCCTTAGTGTGTACATGGCCTTCTCCCTGTGAGTCTGTGTCCAGATATCCCTCTTCTTCAAAGGGCATCAGTCATTGGATTAGGGCCCACCCCAATCCAGTATGACCTCATTTTAACTTGATTACATCTGCAAAAACCCTATTTCTAAATAAGGTCACATTCACAGGTGGGGGTTCATGGGAAACGGGGGGGGGGTGGTCAGGACTTCAACATATATTTTTGAGGGACACAATTCAACCCATAACATCTCCCTTTATCAATTGCCTTTAGAAAAAAAGTTCTACATATACATTTTTTCCTCCTATTTTCAATTTGCATATTTTACAAACCAAAAGGCCCTTAGTAAACCTGACAATGAATTTTAAGCAGCCTGAAATAAAGCTTAAAAGCAGTATAGGGCCGGCCCCGTGGCTTAGCGGTTAAGTGCCCGAGCTCAGCTATTGGCGGCCCGGGTTCCCATCCTGGGCACGCACCGACGCACCGCTTCTC